CGTGGTATTTTTGAAAGTGGACAAACCCTAGTAGCATTTTTGCAAAATATTTCAAAAGTGCTAGTTTTTTAATTCTTTTTTGTTTTACTCTTTTCGTGTTAAATTAAATGTCGTTTTAAAATTATTTTTTTATTTTAAACTGTGCCATCTTGGATTCGAAATATAAAATTTAATACTAGATATCTATTTTAACTTTGAATTTGAGCAAAAGTAGAAGAGAATATTAAGCGTTAAAATATTTTCGAATGGTATAATAGAGTTTTTACGATGTTTTTTTTAATTTATGTGAAAATATCAGAATAATACTTATCCTCTATATATTAATAAAGGAGATACTGAGTGAAAATCCTAGGTGTCATCCAAAGAGAGTTTTAAGGAACTTTTAAGGAGCATTTTTAATAACATTATTGTGTAAATAATTAGACTAATTTATATCTCAGATACAATATATAACTATTAAACAATATGGAAACAAAAAATATGTGGTAGTTAATATGGAAGATTTTATTTAATAAATATAAAGTATATGTGAAAATATTTTTTTTTCAATGACTATTAGATTTTTTTGACATGCGTTAAATACGGGATTAGAATATTCAAAAAAAAATTCATGATTTTTTATATACGGGAAAAATTAAAAATAACAAAGATATATCTCGAGTATAGATAAATATATTGATAAGTATATTTTATCTTAGAAAATCTAATTTGCATGATACTTAGACTAAATGCATAATTTTTTAGAAATGCCACTTTTCAAAAATATCATCATTTTGAATTTTTTTTTTAAATGCCACTAATCCTCTATATAATAATTGACTAAACATTTGGTGAAAAAATCACATGTATTATTCAATGAGGGTTTAAAAGAATATGTCATTTAAATTAACTGATGAAAATATTTTAATTAAAATTATATGTTATGGTGGAAATCTTTATATGTTTTTATTAATTTTGTCACATAAATCAATTAATATGTATTTTACAGAGTTATGTTTAACTAAATGTAATATTTAGACTTACTATATCATCTATTTATTTTTTAATATTTGATATATTAAAAAACTTTTTATTATTATATTTGTAGATGATAACTACACTTACAAATAGTTTTACATTTTATTATTAGAAAACATATTTTTTGTGTTTGTTACGTCCGACAAATTTATATAAATCTAAAATTTATTTGATTTATCGCATACTCTACTATTTACACAAATAATAAAACTCAATTTGACACTTCAAATAAATTGAAATAAGTAACATTTGCATTAGTTTTAATATTTTATGCAAAATTGATCAAAGCATATGACATTGAAATATGTTTAGTAAAAATTTAATTTTATTATATTGATGCACAATACATACTATTTTGTACGTTTATAAATATTAGAATATACATCTATATTTTAAAATCAATTAGAAAATCTAGTTTGTTTTAAAATGGAGGCAGTATCTACAGTTTTTGGAAACTGTGATCAAATATATATACTTTCTATATTCTTTTTAGTGTTTGGTTTTTTTTCTAATTTATCTTATTTTAAAATTTATTATTATAACTTAAAAATTATACATAAATATTTTTAGAAAATCAATAAATAATATGAGTTCTTGATAAATTTTCTTACAAAAATAAAAAAATTAAACTTTTATGAAACAAAAAAAAATACGTTCATTTTCATACAATGATATACCATCCTTATAAACAAACCAAAAAGAAACCAAGGAGAGAGCGAAGGGTCACGAAGAAACGTGGAAATGCTTCAGTCCATGTGCATCACATGACTTTTATTATGACAGTATCATAAAATACCAAAAAAATATAGGGTAATAATTAATGATGGTTTCTTTTGTTCTTTACTTCTAATGATTATATTCTCTTCTGTATTAATAAAGGTAATCTATGGAACGTCTCTATAACAGCCTATTAGGAAACACAGTAATGACTATTGACTAATGAGTCATATTTGAAAGTGACAAAGCCATATCAAATGACTGAAAGATTCAAAATTTGTGTAGTTATTCAAAAGGGCCAGATTTTTATGGTCTAACTACATTTTAATTGAATGAGTTTTAAGAACAATTCTTTTGTTTATTGAGTAGAAAACTTTATAATCTGTATAATATTTAATAAAAAATTAAAGGAAGGCAGGAAACAGCCAGCTCAGCTTAGGATGGACCCACAAAACACGAACTGACCAAAGTTAAGAGACGCGTTATCCGATTCGCCTTCTCGTGCAATCCACGCGCCAGCTATTTTACACTCGTTTCTACTGGGCCCCATACCAAAGCCCATACAATAAGAAGCCCACTACAGAGCCCAAGTCACACAACACCACTGAAGGCACGTGACCACTCAACATCTCTGATTCGCATCTCTTCTCTTACCAAAGCTACATCTTCCCATCTTCCTGCGTCTGCATAAACGTTCGAAAGCAAAACTTTACATCCTCCGTGAGACGGATCGATCGCCTCCAGCTCAGCTGCCGCAAGCTCGGCAACCTCGACGTTCCCGTGAATCCGTGAAGCCGACAGTAGCATCCCCCAGATGATCACATCCGCTTTCACCGGCATCTTCTTGATCTTTTCTTTTGCTTCCTCTAATCTCCCAGCTTTACACAATAGATCAACCATACATCCATAATGCTTGATGTCTGGATCGATCCCGTAACCGCTCTTCATGCTCTCGAAATACGTTTTACCTAACTCCACCAGCCCCGCGTGGCAGCAGGCGCTCAAGACACCGACAAATGTGATGCTGTTTGGTTTGATGGGGAGAGATTGGAGATGGGAATAGAGCTCAAGCGCTAGATTTGCACGGCCGTGTGTCGCTGACCCGCAAATGATAGCGTTCCAGGGAGAGATTGTTGAAGAACAAATGTTCTTTGTTTGTCGGAACACTGTTAGAGCGGTTTCGATGCTTCCGCATTTGGCGTACATGTCGATTATAGCAGCGGTTAGATTGTTGTTGTGAGGAATTGAGCTACGGTTTAGATAGTCATGCGCTCTTTTCCCTTCTTCCAACAATCCTAGTGATGAGATTGCAGAGAAAACACTGACCATTGTGATTGCATCTGGTTTCACTTGGCTACTACTGATCATTTCACGGAAAAGGTGTAGAGCTAAGCGAGGCGACAGACTCTGCGCATAACCCGATATCATAGCGTTCCATGAAAATATATCTTTATCACGAGTCTGATCAAATACTTCCCTTGCCTGCTCAATCATTCCATTCTTCACAAATCCTGCAATCAACGCGTTTCGTGACGCAATGTGGTCCTTCACGCTTGCTTCAAACTGCTGAAGAGCGAGTTCCATGTTACTAGAAACGGCATAGAAGTGTATAATTGTTGCTTGTAAGAAATCGTAACAATCAAAACCCGTTTTCACAATGGTACAGTGAAGTTGCAAACCCTTGAAACCGCCTGCTGATCGAGCTGAAGCTGAGAGAAGGTCTACCATCATAACTTCACTAGGCTTCATTCCACGGCGCAACATCTCGGTGTAGAAAACCAGAGCTTCGTCAAGCTGATTCTTTTGGAGACACCCATCAATCATGGTTCCCCATGAGACAATATCTTTCTCAGTAATCTGATCAAACAATTCCTTAGCCTGTTCAATAAGTCCAGCTTTTGAGTACCCGTTTAACATCACGTTCCAAGAAACTAAATTTCTTTCAGGCATTTCATCGAACAACTTCCGCGCGTCCTTCAAACATGAGCAGACACAGTACATATGCAGCAAATTCGTCGAAACAAAGACCTGATCGTCAAGCTTCAGCTTAATAGCCAAACTCTGCAACATCCTGCAATCCCAAATCCCACACAAATGCGAACAAGCGGATATAACAGTGGCTAATGTCACTTCATTTATCATGATTCCCCAATTTCTCATCTCCCTATAAAGCTCCATAGCTTCACTCCACCGATCGTTTTGAGCGTAACCTTTTATCAAAGTAGTATACGAAACACAGCTTCTCTCAGGCATAACGTCGAACAACTTGAGCGCATCCCCAAGTCGACGAGATCTTACATACCCATCAACCATTATATTGAACGAAGCAGAATCAACCATTGCGTGGGATCGGAAAACAGATTCCGCATCGGTCAAGAAACGGCATTTCGCGTACATGTTAAGGACGCTATTGCAGATGAATCCATTAGAAACAAGACCGGATTTCAATACACGGCAATGAATTTGCCGGCCACAAGTGACGTCATTATTGGAAGCGCACGATCCAAGAGCAGAGACGAGCGTACGCTCAGCATCGGGACTCTCGCCGGAGAAATCGAAGTGGGTCGGACTCGGAGCCGTCGTGGATGGTTGTTTTATTCGCGTGATCGAAACGGAGAAACATCTCGCCTGCTGAGGAGAAAACACCCCAAAGCGACGAGACCGGAGAAAACAAATCGATTTGATCATAAGAGACCATGAGACCAAAATGCTAAACCTCAAAGCTTTTTGCGCAGCGCATTTATATTGTTGGTTCTTGTTGTTTATTCAGAGGAAGAAAAACAAAAAAAGATTTTTTTTATGTGAAATAAAAGAC